GGCTGCTGGTACCAAGAGTGTTAACTGTGGAGGCACGCAAACTGAAGCTGTTAACAATCTCTTCAGTGTCTATCATGCTGCTGCCAATTGGCTCAGTGGTGAGAATCTTTATTTTCTTGATGTTGAGCTTCAATTCATATTTAAGGCAGTAGTCCTTGACCTTCTGCATGAACTAATTTAAAGATCAAAAAATTCTCATGAAGTAGATACCAAGCTTCCATTTTTACAGATAAAAAAATGAGGCACAGTGATTCAAGGACTGGACTAAAATCACAGCTTGTACAAGACTTTAAAATGCAGAATCCTGGGTGCTACCTCCAGGGATTCTAATTGATTTGACTGCAATGATTACTCTGAAATCTTCAACTTGAACAAATGTCTATAAGTCACTGGTAATCACCAAAACACTTTTAGAAATCCTAGGTAGAGTCACTGACACCCCAACTATACTTGACCTTGACCCCGAGCTCCATTACCTTCACTCTATTTACTGTTGCTAACCTTAGTGTAGAACCCAGCTCCTGGCTGATTCCCACTGAAATGTGAACTAACACATCTACCTATTTTAAGAGGGTATACTGCGACTTGACGGCACATAACAATACTGCCAATAAATTAAGCACTTGGCAATTTAAAATAGACTGTCATCAGAAGTTACCCAGTAACAGAACCAATTACCTACCTACTTTGCCATTTTCCTCCTCTGAAGAGCTACTAGCTGAATGTGGCAATTGTGGGCAATTACAGTACTGAAGACACTTAACTCCGTGCACATGGCTTGTCTATTCACTTTCATGGTAATTTAAACCAGTATCTTGATTAGGCTTACTAACCTCCACACAGACATAAAAGTTATTATGTTCTGTCATTGTTTATAAAATTAAGACATCCTAGAACAAAGCACACTATAATCGTAAGTCTTTTCTATTTTATTTATGTAAGCAGTTGAAAGTTTATCAGCACCCTGGTGGCACGGTGATTTAAGCACTAGGCTGATAACGGAAAAGTTGGTGGTTCAATCCCATCAGATGATTTTTAGGAGAAAGATGTGGCAGCCTGCTTTTGTAAAGGGCCACAGTCTTGGAAACCCCACGGGACTAGTTTTACTTTATCCTGTGGGGGCCCCTACAAGTTGGAACTAACTCAAGGGCAATAATGAGGGATTTGGGGGGGGGGTTTGTTAAGTTTATATAGCACTTTCGTGTTACAGCATCTCTTGAACTTCACAACAACCCACAGTCAGCCTTGCTAGAGTTCCCATTTTGTAGTTAAGGAACTGAGGCTCGAAGTGATTCAGATTCAAGGTCAAGGAACTGCTATGTTGCAAACTCAAATGATGACTCTGGAATGTGTACCATCAACCTTCTCTACCAGCTCTGAAGTATATATATATAT